TTGGAAGCAATAACTTCATTCAAACGAATTTTTCATATCTGAGGACAGGGGTTGCGTTTCTTTTGACAGAGTTTACATATATCAGAGAGAGCAGATTGTTTATGTGGCCACGCCACTGAAGATGCACGTCATTACTTCTTCGTATGTTCCAGATTTGATTCTATAACCGCAAATAAATTTCATCATACCAATGGCTTTTCATTAAAGACAATCTTATATGGAACTTTATTCCGTAAACGTTTCTAACGCAATCTGATATTTAAAATCAGATCATCAATTTATAATTGAAACTAGACGTTTTGACTAAGCAAATCATATACCGCAACTTATTCATATATCATATATATATATATGTATAGTGTTATAAGGTAAAAGTGCATCCCTAGACCATTAGAACATTACATTACATTCCGTATTCAGATTTGCAGTTGCTCATGAGTCAGGGGTGGAAATAACCCATTGCCCGACCTCCGAGTCCAGTGTTTTTCTGTCGGGCAAGCAAATTTGTACCGGTGTCCAGATGACTTTCCAATGTTAATTATGTTGTTTATTTTTAAAAACCCAAGAAAACGCCCGAATAGTGGAAAATTATCGGGGCAAGTGATTTTACATGTGCCACTGTACCGGGATACACTAGCAAGTTTAAAGTTATTTCCACCCCTGTGAGTGATAACGGTTAGGAACGCTAATGACACAGAAAGTCTGGAGAGAAGGACTTTGGGCGTAGGCTACGGAAGGCAGAGACCGGACACTTTCGTCATGAAAGACAGAACAGATTAAGCTTGCATTAAAACAGTTAACAAATTAGTATAAAGGGGTAAGTAACCGAACGGTGCTGCCCGATATTCTCCAAATCACGACACACGTGAGTGTTGGGTCAGATACGGTGTTAACGAATCGATAGGTTGAAACATATGATCAGGGCCCTGTTCTAAAACGCGATCGTAGCGCTAAGTTGATCGTAACTCCTATACTTTAACATAGACTTACGACTGTCGTAGCGCGCTACGATCGCCTTGAGGAACGGTGCCCAGATCAGGACAGGTTCTTAACCATTCAAAAAGATGTTTGGCACTAGGAGAGCAGAATGCGGAAAGTGCGAGCTCAACATTCGGAAGTCAATCCCCGTCACTCAGTTCCTCCGTTTTGGTACAAGTCCGCCCTGTCTGGTGTTGGCGTTGTAGTATATGCAGACATTGTATGCACCGACATGTGTCATTGTCAAGATTGTAGATGCAGAGAGTGACACTGAAGACAGTGATGAGGAATACCTGACACCTTACAGCAACAAGAGTAGTTTTAACATGTGGTATGTGTTTGAAATAATATATAGGGCACAAAGAAGACTTGTATCCAGTGCACTTTCAACATTACCATTGCATAGTGTACTCCATAATATGAATGAGATATTTGTTAGTGTCATATGAGAATTAACAAAATGTCATTTAATCAAATAGTCAAATACCTAAAAATGTGGCAAAATGAAACTTGAAATTCTAACTTTATCACAATTTAAGACATAATAAACGATAAATATTTTTAAAAAAATAAATCAATGTAAGTGTGTTAGTATGCTGTTGTGAACATTATTCCGGATTTCTTTCAAATGTAAATTTTGACTCTTATTAAAACAACAGTATTTCCTCAGTGAACAGATCTTTTCACAAGAACATTGTATTTTCTGAAAGAGCAGTTCCAGGACTTTAATTTGATACCAAGTTCAAGTATTCACCCAAACTTTAGCACTTCCACTTTTTAGGACAATACTTGCTTCGGCCCACGGCCTAGTAAGGGAGATGGAATGAAACAGAATAAACCTATGTGAGCATAGAATGGTGTTGCATTTATGTTTGAATGTATGTGTGAATGCATGTGTGCCATGAATGTACAACGTGTTCACCTTGACCTGAGCTACTTACATATATGCATGACCTGGGAGGTCAAATGGCACCAACGGCAGGTCGAGTTAACTTCATTAAATAGGGGAGCAGAGAATGTTATCAATGTTGCGTTCGTGCGAAACATGCATACATGGATTGGTAACAGAACTTGTCACGGAAAACTTCTGAACAAACAATCCTTTCGTGTTTTAATTGAATTGTTTATACAGTCATAAGCCATCTAGTTTGGTTTACTAACTTTACAACGTACAGACATCAGTTACTTTCACTCTCCGATTCACTCTCGCTATCACTCTCTACACCCTGTTCAATTATCACTTTTTATGTTCAGTTAGGACATGTTGACAAGCAACTGACAAGGGTGCACCCCTTCACAATAATAGACCCAACCAGTTGTGACACGGTCACGCAATACATTAGTATTCACTTGATGAGGTCAAGCTGAACAAGGTGTAATGCTGTTAGGTGTCACGGTCGCCCGACCCCTCACTCCTGACTTAGCATCTGTGGACGGACCACGTGACTGAAGCACCTGCGCTACCATCTCCATGGCAATGTGGAACGGCCACAATTAGTAGATAACTGTTGTAGGGTTTACTAGAGCCCCATCGGCAGTTACGACAATACTGGAGCGGTCTTCAAGTATTTTCTCGTGAGCCTGGAGTGCGGCGTAAAACTAAACTCACTCACTCACTCTTTTGAGCTTGTTGACCAATCCAGTTCATGTATTTTCATGAATTATACATGTTTTAAACCACATGATTGAATAGTTGTACGTAACTTTGCGCACAGGAACTCTGTCCACCACAATCTTTACAGGGAGGGCCTCTGCCTACAATCTTAATATTGTAATAATATAACATGGTATAAAGTAAGTATGTATTATTGTAATGCACTGCACAAAAACAGCATATAATATTGCACGTCGATCGAGTCAAAACTGAATAGCGTTTTAACACTGAAGTTAATGTTAATGAAACCAACCTTATATATACTTTATCCCACTGGATGAGTGGAGTATTAAATGTAATTAGAAAAGAAATACAAAGCAGCAGAGAAGCTTTGGGGAAGTGCAATTGATGTTTCATCTCGTATAAAACTATAATACATGTAGTTCCAAGTGGGCAGAGTTACTGTGGGTGAAGTTCCTAATGGGCAAAATACCTGAAGGCAAAGTTCCCGGATTAAATTAAATATCGAGTTAAATACAACTAACTCCTCTTTAGAAAATACAGATATCATTATCTGGTGGTAAATGGACATTTATGCGGGTCCCTAGTATGGTGATCTACAGTTGTTGGCAATACATAGCCTGCTTTCTTACTTTGTACTGTCATCTATAGTTAAACTGTTTTAGATTTAATTGCTAGTTTTAAATTCGAATCTGCGATAATCTAGGTATTTCACTGTCCTTCGTTGACAGGGTTTTACAATTTACCATTAATTACTATGTATAAAATTAATTGTTCTCGTCACGATTTGGCTGGAAATATTGCCGATGTGACCATACATTTTAACTCACTCACATTTATGCGCGAGATGATCATGTTTGGAAGCGTCCGTAAAATCTACCACATTTCAGGATACGGTTTCTCAAACCTGACTCGGTCCAAATTGGACAAGATTGTGGAAGTGTTTTAGTTGGTTGGTTGAATGGATGGTTGGTTGGTTAACGTAACAATCAGTGGTCACACACCAATCTAGCCGAGATCAGACAGTCCAATGACTGACACCATGAGCATCGACACGCACGAGGGATACAATGAGATGCAATCACCCAGGTCACCCAAGTCACTCAACCTGACTTCCCAACAGAGGGTCCTGTAGAGGGTATTTTGTTTACCGCAAAACAAAATGAAAACTATTCCAAATAAGTGGTGAGTCAAAACATATAGTCGAACGTAACAGGCTCTTAAAATCTGCACTTAATTAACACTTCTGACGATTAGGTGAATGACACTGAGAGAGTGGGACTCAACCCAAGGAAATTACCACTTTTTACCGTTAATCGAGCTAAAATATCGAAACGTTTGTGTATAGCTGGAGAAACTTACGAACCCAACTGACTGATAATTTGCAAAACACGAAAATGGAAACAAACTTTGAAACAAAACAGTGGAAAATGCATCGTCGAAACACAACAATGCTCTATTGCACGGCACCTTTAGTTTGTTGTTGTTGCGTACTTCGCATTTCTGGAATTGATTGATGATAGTGACGTCAACACCGACGAAAACCTTTGGGAATATGGATAGTCGACAGACAGTTCCCCAGACGGCTCAGGGCTTACAGAGAACAGTTTCAGACAGCTCAACGTCGTCTGAGATTGAGATTGGCCCGGACTGTGGGTCCTTGGTAGCGACGTGACTGACATGCTTGTCTGCATCTTTCTTTGCTGACGGGTAGTTTGGCCAAGTTTCTTCTTTCTATTACAGCCCTCTGCAGGTCTTCAGCATAGTCTGCATGATACAATATAGGAAATAACAATTTCACTGTAAACAATTACACAAAATACAGGCAAAGACAACACAGGTTATATATTGTTTTTCTGTTTGTTATCATGTACAGATTTTAATTATGTATTTTGGTGCATAAGATCAATAGAAAAAAATATCATGCTGAAAAAGTCTCTCTGAAAACTGAAAGTATAATTCAAACGAAATTTGTTATCAGACAAAAGGAATAATTTGCTCCAGTCTTACTTATGTATGTATAAAATCTGCAGTTCTAAACATACTGAATGTAACTGGTTGTTTAACAGGTTTGACAACGGCATCCTCTCCTTTCTTTGATTTGGGATACATCATCTTCTTCTTGAATTTTGAATTGCCCTCGTGATCCGTTGCTTGTTCACGGTTTCCATTTCCATTGAAATGGAGGCAGCGAGGAACATTCTGAAATGGTCAAATGTTGCTTGATAACTGAAAAATGTATGACATTGCAATGGTTATATTGAACACACTTCTTCAAAGTGTAAACCAAAATCACAACTTCCATCAAAGAACACTACATGGCAATTAGTGGCTTCTGTAATGTATTTATTGTAGAAATACTAAGTGAATATTATGAAATATTGTATGGGTTCTCTGCATATCTCACCTTGCTATCGTTGCAGCAGCATAAAAGTAGTGGGTGTTCTTAGGCGCAAAGTGCTTTACCACACTGTGGAAAACCTCCAATGCATAAGTCTGATACACCGGAGACAGGTTTGGCAAATCTCACAAGGTAACCACTGCTGACAATCTCCATGAAAGCTTTGTATGGTTTTAGAACATGTAAATACAAAATTGCTACTTCATTCATGTTATCATGGTCAATGGCATGTGTACCTTTATAGCATTGTAACACTCACTGTAAATTAATGCCTGACTGTGTGTATAACCGATGAATTGGTCACATATGAAATGACGTTACTGTTCAGGGCTCGATTTAGTGCTTTGTTCCTTACACTGGTGCTAACCAATAATACAAAGTACAACCTAGCCTAAATTTTTGAGGGGGGTAAACTTCTAAATAAAACATCTAAATAATTCAATAGCATATTTCACTCATTACATATGGCAATGAAAGCAATGGAATTTGGCTGGTGCAACTTTTATCTTAGGTTGCACCTGGTGCAAGTAGGTTAACAAATCTTGAATCGAGCCCTGATGTTCAAAAAGTATATTTTATTTTTAAAAACTTACCTTCTTTCAACCATAGTCTTTCCCCAGTCAGTGGTCCATGCTCGCACTGCTTGAATTTGGGTGAGTGTCCTTCATGTTTGTTTTGCAACATGATTTGTCACTGACAACCATTTATCCACTTTCATATCTGGTTCATATTTACTGGTTCATATGATGCTGCTACCCAGTACATATGGTTTGTCGTCGACTTGATCCAAGGACGGATTGCAGCACATCCACTTTTTGGCTGCTGCTTCCAGTTTCTTCCCAACTCCTGGCATCAATTGGAATATGTAATTTGGTGGTAGACAACAGTTTTCATATCCAAATAGTCCACAGCACATTTCACATATTTACATTGGTTTATGTAAAATACTAGTAGCTTACCCAATTTTATCAGTTGTAATTTTTATGTTAACCATATGATCACAAGATAATTTTATGAATGCCGGCAAATAGTAATTGATGTATATCAAGAATCTGTGTCATAAACAGATTAACACAAAATATATTTTTGTGTATCCTTACCTTGGTGTTACATGTCAAACATCACAGTAATGTTTCTTGTCTTTGTGCTCCTCTCTCATGTATTTCTTCACTGAGACATGGCGATCTGTGATGACTTCCTTATTGGAACACCCTTTCTGTTCAAGAAATGACAATCCTCGCTTCAGTCCCTCAACTTCCATGTGATGTGAATTCTTGACTTCATTGCTCCAAAATGAAACGAGAACATATCAATCACTGAATTGTCTGATCCAGATTTGATTTATTATAGGCTGCAGTTATATATATCTGGAATAGTGCTGCAAGCAGCATCAAGCACAACATCTCTTGTCAATATTGCTACCTTTTATACAAATCTTTATAGCATGTGCAGCAGTGCCTTGGGGTCTCACTTATTCTCACTCACCTGGACAAGCTGTATATCCAAAATTCTTCTGTCGCGAAGATCCATCAAGGTGTATGTGCCATACTTCGCACAATGTCCTGGTGTGTCACATCTCCCATCACCTCCCAAAACAAGTGAATTCCCACCAACACGCTCCAACAAGCTGGACAAGATGGTACTGTATAGCATCGCTGTATGTTGATGAAAGTACCCATGCTAAAATTGCCATTTTTTATGAACTTGAACATTCTCAATGCTTGGGTGGCACATCACCCGCTACAAAGAATACTGCTGGCACACAGAAGATTGTCCCAAGGCATTGTCCCATGCATTGACTGACTGTTCCATCTTGTAGTGTGCCCCTTCAAGCATTCTGTCTCCACAGTTATCATAACGCCTTGATGTTGCATCAGTTTCACATGACAATTCATGCCACAAAATGAACTTGAACCTGACTGATGATAGCAATACTGGAATAGTTTGGCAAGTGAGGTTTCAAGAGGAGACAAGAAACTGTCTTTCAGTCTGGGGATTTGCTGACAAGCAGAGAACTGGTTCAGTTTCGTTATCAGTATCTGTATCACAGTCTGCATCAGTTTCACTTTCATCCAACTCTGAGCATTCAGAAGGCATGTATTCCTCGTCACTTGTAAGAAATGTGTCCTCACAAGCATCAGTATCCTCCACTGCTTGGATTGGGACACTGCACACCTCATGCTGTTTTAGATGAAACTTGTGATATAGGTGCACATTTAGATGAAAATAGCTTTAGTGGTGGCAATGATACAAGATCACATTGAATTTCTTTGGAAATGGTAGTGACTGGCTTGCACTGACAAGAACTTTAACTTGAATCCTCCGTGTACGTTGTGATGTTACTTGTTGCTGTGAAATAGTCTGGGTTTTCTGGTTGATAAAACGGGAACTAATGTTCAAATTGGTGGAAACACTGACAGACGCTCCAACTTTTATCTCATTAGTTCATGTGGAATCTTGTCCATGAAACTTTTCATGTTCCTTTACCTTATCTAATTGATAAGGCTCATTCCTGTCTCCATCAAAGGCTTTGGGTGGACTTGTTTCAGTGGTTTGTTCATCATTGAAGAAATTCCCTCAGGATCTGCGAAAATAGACAAATAAAACTAAAAATGTTCATGCAAATCACAGCTAACCTATTATTTCAATACATCATAACTTTCAATACTGACGCAAGTCTGATGCCGACACGATTAATATGGCAAAATGGAAACAACGAATGAAACAGGTACTTCACCCATATTTAAAGATAATTTCTTTTCCGGGTACACTGCAAAAATTGGGTCCCACAAACCGGAACGAACGTTATAGAAAAACATTTGCCAGCTCAAGGGGAAGCCACTTACTGATTTCAATAACAGTTTCATATATTTGATTACAATCGGACTTGATTTATTCAATGTTAAAATATACCACTAACTGCAAGTTCTAACATGTAATCATGGTAATAGTGCAATATAAACGGAATATTCTGGAATGAAAATCTCCGGTCAACGGTAACAGTATGCATGTCGAAATCTACTTACCTCGTCCGTTTGTCGTTTCCTAAATGCTCCTCGTGTAACACTAGGTAAACCATGCGCGAAACTTTTTGTCCTGAATCTCGTGGGCACTGCGTCCTTCTTCAGCCGAGCTTTGGATTTTCATATCCCATTTGTGCAAGGTGACATGGGTCTCTTTCAGAATGCATCCGACTCGAAATGATCGAACACAGTACTGCATTCTTGCTTGGCTTCCAGTTTTTCTCCCCACGTTGACACCTATGAATCCAAACCTTCCTCCTGTCTATAACTGTCTTTTCTCTTGGAAAACGGAAGAAATTGTGGTTCTTTCCCATGTTCGATGATGCCGTGCATCCCCAGGCAACGCAATACACCATCGTACCATTTAAAAACGACAGCAACAACAACAACACGACTTGTACTACTGCAGCGCTTGGTCTTTGGCAATATGGCTCCAGGCACATTTGACGTCACGAGCGGAAAGGTCACGTGGGTTCCAGCGAAATATGCATAATGGCCGAAGCTGAGATTTACAGAAACTGTTTTCGCGATTAAAACATAAGTATACATAATATTTAATTGAAAATTTGCGAATATATTTCTGATGACTTTTATCTTCACTCCAGCAAATTATTGCAGTTCACTCGTATTCTCCTTTAAGAAAGCCAGTTCCGTCTGTAGGGTAAAACAGTACCACAGTACCACAGTAGGGTAAAACTGTTGCATTCGTGTCATATGGTGACGACAGAATACAATTGACATCTTTAAATCATTCATCTTCCAGTTGTGCTACCATTTTCGCAAATCATGTGTTCCCAAGCAGTCACACGACGTCGTGTCTTATATCCCACCTCGTCATGAGTTCCTTATCAGTGACTCGTACATGTATATTATATCTCACTTCTTGTGTTTCCGTATCAACCACACGTTTTATATCACTTACACATGCCTTACATCCTGTTTCTTGTGTGTGCTTCCGTATCAGTCACACGTGTCTTATATACCATCTTGTGGTTCCGTATCAGTCACACGTGTCTTATATACCATCTTGTGGTTCCGTATCAGTCCCACGTGTCTTTATATACCATCTTGTGGTTCCGTATCAGTCCCACGTGTCTTATATACCATCTTGTGGTTCTGTATCAGTCACACGTGTCTTATATACCATCTTGTGGTTCTGTATCAGTCCCACGTGTCTTATATACCATCTTGTGGTTCCGTATCAGTCCCACGTGTCTTATATACCATCTTGTGGTTCCGTATCAGTCCCACGTGTCTTATACACCATCTTGTGGTTCCGTATCAGTCACACGTGTCTTATACACCATCTTGTGGTTCCGTATCAGTCACACGTGTCTTATACACCATCTTGTGGTTCCGTATCAGTCACACGTGTCTTATATACCATCTTGTGGTTCCGTATCAGTCACACGTGTCTTATATACCATCTTGTGGTTCCGTATCAGTCACACGTGTCTTATATACCATCTTGTGGTTCCGTATCAGTCACACGTGTCTTATATACCATCTTGTGGTTCCGTATCAGTCACACGTGTCTTATATACCATCTTGTGGTTCCGTATCAGTCACACGTGTCTTATATACCATCTTGTGGTTCTGTATCAGTCACACGTGTCTTATATACCATCTTGTGGTTCCGTATCAGTCACACGTGTCTTATATACCATCTTGTGGTTCCGTATCAGTCACACGTGTCTTATATACCATCTTGTGGTTCCGTATCAGTCCCACGTGTCTTATATACCATCTTGTGGCTCCGTATCAGTCACACGTGTCTTATATACCATCTTGTGGTTCCGTATCAGTCACACGTGTCTTATATACCATCTTGTGGTTCTGTATCAGTCACACGTGTCTTATATACCATCTTGTGGTTCCGTATCAGTCCGACGTGTCTTATATACCATCTTGTGGTTCCGTATCAGTCACACGTGTCTTATATACCATCTTGTGGTTCCGTATCAGTCACACGTGTCTTATATACCATCTTGTGGTTCTGTATCAGTCACACGTGTCTTATATACCATCTTGTGGTTCCGTATCAGTCACACGTGTCTTATATACCATCTTGTGGCTCCGTATTAGTCACACGTGTCTTATATACCATCTTATGGTTCCGTATCAGTCACACGTGTCTCATATACTATCTTGTGGTTCCGTATCAGTCACACGTGTCTTATATACCATCTTGTGGTTCCGTATCAGTCACAAGTGTCTCAAATACCATCTTGTGGTTCCGTAACAGTCACACTTGTCTTATATACCATCTTGTGGTTCTGTATCAGTCACACGTGTCTTATACACCATCTTGTGGTTCTGTATCAGTCACACGTGTCTTATATACCATCTTGTGGTTCCGTATCAGTCACACGTGTCTTATATACCATCTTGTGGTTCCGTATCAGTCACACGTGTCTTATATACCATCTTGTGGTTCTGTATCAGTCCCACGTCTCTTTATATACCATCTTGTGGCTCCGTATTAGTCCTACGTGTCTTATATACCATCTTGTGGTTCAGTATCAGTCCCACGTGTCTCATATACTATCTTGTGGTTCTGTATCAGTCACACGTGTCTTATATACCATCTTGTGGTTCCGTATCAGTCACACGTGTCTCAAATACCATCTTGTGGTCCCGTATCAGTCACACGTGACTTATATACCATCTTGTGCCTCCGTATCAATCACACGTGTCTTACATCCAAAGATGCTCCATATACCAGTCGTACGTGTTAATCCAAGCCATATATGTGTCACTGACAAGACTGGCAAGATAAAATCTCAAGTACTAGCATTTTAGTATTTTTCACATAATTATTCTTTTGATTTTTGGGAAATCCTGATAAATCCTCACCACATAACCATCCAAGTATGTGTCCACCTTCTGTAGCAAGTGAGTTACTTCACGTTTTTTCCGTTTTTATCACCTTTCCTAAATATCACACCATAAATTACCTCCACACGGTGTACCCATCCGGGTCTTCGACGTGACTTTCGAACGCTTTATCAGGCTTCCCACACCCCAAAATTCCATAACAAATAGGAATATAATATCACGATGACAAGTATATATAATATGCAATAGTCCATGTTTACTATTTCTTGTAGAAGGTTACCACATGGTTGGAAATGTTTGTGATCGAAGTGTGTGACAGCTGCTATCAGTTGATCATTGCTAGATTCCACTATTTAAACAGTTCCAACACGAACGTGAACAACTAACATAAATAGTGTCATGGAAGTTTGGTCAGTTCTGCTTGGAGCTGGTCATAACAAGGTGGATAGGCTTTGGACGGGGCGACCGACTATATTATCTTGTTAGCGTAACTTGCCAAATAGGTCCATGTAGAATGAGTTATATTGGCAATGAATACCGTCTTGATAATGTGATTGCACAATGCCATTTGAATGGCCAAATGTAACGTACCTTTGCATTTATTATTACATTTTCGCAGGAAATCAGTAAAGTACAGATTCCAAAAGTCAGTCGCTTTCTCCGGGATTCCTGGAATCAGTCCGTAATAGATTTTGTGAGTGA